ACAACTATATAAGACAAATATTAATGGACATGAAAAACCAAATGCACAAAATCACAATTATAACAGAGGACCTTAATAGCCCACTGCCACAAAGAGATAGATCAACTAGACAAAAAGTCAGCTAAGAAATAATAGAACTGAATCATACCTGTGAGCAATTGGACTTAGTAGACATTTACAGAGTGTTCCACCCAACCACATCAGAATACACATTCTTTGCAGCAGTGCATGGGACATTTTCCAAAACAGACCACATGTTGTCCCATAAAACATTCTTAAGTAACTGAAAAGGTATTGAAATTATTCCCTATGTAGTGTCTGACAGCACATTGAAATTGGAAATTAATGGCAAAAGAAATGGCAAAACCTGAATAAATACATGGAAATTAAATAAGCTTTTGAACAATCAGTGAGCTACAGATGAAATTAAAGAAGATATAAAGCAATACCTACAATTCAATGAAAATGCAGAAACACCATACTGTAACCTGTGGGATGCAATGAAAGTGGTTTTAAAAAGGAAATATATAACAATAAATTGTCATATCAAGAAAACAGAATGAGCACAAGTAAACAACCTAATGCTTCATCTCAAGCTTCTAGAAAAAGAAGAGAAAATTAAACCCGAAGTTCATAGAGGAGAGGAAATTATAAAGATTAGAGAAGAAATTAATGCAATTGAAGCTAAAAAAACACAAAGAATTAATGAATCAAAAAGCTGGTTTTTTGAGAGAATAAACAAAATTGACAAACCTATAGTTAACCTTATTTAAAAAAACCCAAATTCACACAATAAGAACTGAAAAGAGGAAAATTACTACGGAACTCATGGAAATTCAAAAAATCATGAATACTACTTTGAAAATCTGTACTCACATTGAGTTGAAAACATAGAGGAAATGGACAGATTTCTAGAAACATATAAATTACCAAAACTCAACCAAGAAGATATAGCAAATTTTTTTGGTCTTTTTCCTTTTTATAGGTACCGGGGATCAAACTCAAGACTGCCTGCTTGCAAGGCAGGCGCTTATGCTGCTGAGCTAAACCTCCAGCCCCAGATATAGCAATTTTAAATAACCCAATATCAGCTATTGAGATTGAAAATGTAATTAAAAACTTACCTACAAAGAAAAGCCCAGGTCCTGATGGATTTGCAGTGCTGAATACTGCAAGAAATTTAGAGAAGGTTTGATGCGAATGCTCCTTAAACTCTTCAATGAAATTGAAAAGGAAGCAATCCTCCCTAAATCATTCCTAGAGGCAAGTATTACTCTCACACAAAAACCAGAGAAAGACCCAACCAAAAAGGAGAACTATAGGTCAATTTCACTAATGAACACTGATGCAAAGATTCTCAATAAAATACTGGCAAATAGAATGCAGAAATAATCAAGAAGATTATACATCATTACCAAGTGGGATTCATTCCTGGAATGCAGGGATGGTTTAACTTACGCAAATCAATAAATGCAATACACCACATAAACAGAGCCAAAAAGAAAAACTACATGGTCATATCAATAGATGCAGAAAAAGCTTTTGATAAAGTCCAACACATGTTCATGATAAAAAAACCCCTTCTGAAACTAATAATACATGGTGTCTACTTCAGTCTTATAAAAGCCATCTACAACAAACCAACAGCCAACATTATACTAAATGGACAAAACCTGAAAGCTTTCACTCTAAAATCAGGAACAAGACAAGGATGTCCACTATCACCACTCTTTTTCAACATAGTTCTGGAAACATTAGCCAGAGCAATTAAACAAGAGAGAGAGAAATAAAAAGAATAAAGGTAGGAAAGGAAGAAGTTAAATTATCACTATTTGCAGATGACATGATATTCTATATGGAAGACCCAAAAAACTCAATTAAAAGGCCTCTACAGGTAATAAGCAAATTTAGCAGTGCAGCTGGATAGAGTCAGTGCTCAAAAATCAATAGCATTCCTGTACACAAACAAAAAACTCACTGAGAGAGAAATTACGGAAATATTACCCTTCACAATAGCATCTAAAAAAATGAAATACTTAGGAATCAACCTAACAAAGAATGTAAAAGACCTATATGCTGAAAATTCTGCTATGCTAAAAAAGGAAATTGAAAAGAATATTAGAAATGGAAGGATATTCCTTGCTCTTGGCTAGGAAAAACCAACATTATGAAAATGGCCATACTCCCAAAACTGTTATACAGATTTAATGCAATCCCAATCAAAATACCATTAACATACCTCACAGACCTAGAGAAAACACTCCTAAAACTCACTTGGAAACAGAAGAAACCTAGAAGAGCACAGGCAATTCTGGGCAACAAAGGCAAGTCAGGAGGCATCTCAATGCCTGACTTGAAACTATACTACAAAGCCACAGTGATGAAATCAGCATGGTAGTGACAAAGAAATAGACCTGAGGATCAATTTAACAGATTGGAAGATGCAAGCACAACTACAAATATACTCAGCCACCTGATATTTGAAAAAGGGGCTAAACATGTTCACTGGAAGGATAGCCTCTTTAGTAAATGGTGTTAGAAAAATTGGCACTCCGCATGCCAAAGACTGAAACTAGACCCATGCCTATTACCATGAACAAACTGAAGTCTTAATGGATCAAAGACCTAAATATTAAAACAGAAACACTACATCTACTGGGAGACAAGGTAGGTAGAAGTCTTGGAAACATAGGGGTAGGCAGAAAATTCATGAACAAAATGCAAACTGCATGGGAAACACTTCAAAGAATTATCTGGGATCTCGTATTCTGAAAAGTTTCTGCACTTCAAAAGAAATCACCAGCAGAGTGAAAAGAAAATCCACAGAATGGGAAAGAATTTTAACCAGCAACCCCTCACACAAAGGACTTATATCCAGAACATATAAAGAATTGAAAAACATCAAGCCCCCAAATTCAAAGACCACCTCCATAAATGGGCATCTGAGATGAACACACAGTTCTCATATAGAGATATATAAATGGCAAATAAATACATGAAGAAATGTTCACCATCACTGAGCATTCTAAAAATGCAAATTAAAACAGCATTGAGATTTCATCTCACTCGGGAAAGAATAGCTGCCATCCAGAAATCAACTGATAACAAATGTTGGTGAAGCTGTGGGGGAAAAAGGAACACTGCTCTAATGTTGGTGAGAGTGTAGACTGGTGCAGCCAATATGGAAATCAGTATGGAGATTACTCAAAAAACTAGGATTGGAAGTTTCATTCAGTCCAGCTCTTCCCCTCCTAGGTATCCCCCCCCCACAATTGAAAAGGTCATGTCGTATTGATGTATGTGCACCCATGTTTATAGCAATGCAATTTGTAATAGCTAAATCTTGGAAACAACCAAAATGCCTATCAACTGCAGAATGAATAAAAAATGTATTTTTAATACAATATAGTACTACTCAGCTATAAAATAGGATGATCTTGTGGATTTTATGAGGCAACTTGAGATTATCCTTGTAAGTGAAATAAGTAAGACCCACATTTGCAAATGTCACATTGTCTCTCCAGTGTAAAAAAATAATAAAAACTGAAAGTGTAATAAGATCCAAAATGTATAATAGAAATTGTGGAAGTGAAAGGGAAGGAAAGTGCTCTAAAGGATATAAGTACATATATGTTTAATTGCATAAGATAGATGACCAGTTTACTAAGTTTTTATTACATCATTGAACAGAAGAGTTCCCAATGTGAATTTTGAGTATCTGTCCACCTTTGACACTTTGATTTTCTGACTTGAACAACTATTTCTAAAAGGATAAAATGTAACTCATTAACTAATAATTTCTTAGTATTAATATTTTTCTTTGAAAATATAAACCTCTACCCTTTTTTCTGTCTTATCTTGCTTTTTCTTTCTTTTTTCTTTAAATAAAAAAGAATTCTGAGCAAAGACTTTTTATCTTTTGTTAATTAATTACTTGTTAATCTTAAGGGTCAGCGTAATTATATATCAGTCTACTTTTCATTTAGTGTCTCAGTGTACATATTTTGAGTATTGTTGTTGAAAAGAGAACACTCTATTTCTCAAGGCCCATCATGTATTTTAAAATAAGACAAATTACTCAATTTGATGCAGAATATAAGAAACATGGTAATTATCATAAAACTCATCTCAAAACCAAAATCCAATTTTTGCTTTGTACATGAAATATCACACAGATTGGTCTTAGCTTTAACATAACCCATGTTAAGTTTCATTCAGGGATTCTTGTCAGTATCAGTGAGATTTTACTTGGGATATTGCTTCTGCTGTATCCCGCTGAATCTGGTAAACAGTCAAGACTGATAGAGGGGTGGTGGTCAAAAAGCCAAAGAGTTCCCATGAGGCTTCTACAGACACCCTTTTTATAGCCATTCATGCTCGCAGCGGCTTGTCTTAGCATTTATTTTCCAAGCCAGTATTCCAGTTGACCATGTGTTCTTACTTAAAGTGGCATGTTAGCACTTTAGTTTCCAGTTGCTTGCTTGCCTTTCATTCTTAATAGTTTATATATTTCACTCAGTATATCATTTTTGGAAGAATTTGAAAGAAAATATAGTCATGCTATAATTACTACCATTAGTTTTAGCAGACCAATTAGGAATAGGGGACTGTCTGATATGTTTTATCTGGTCCATGTTTTTGAAGATACTTCACTGAAACATGTCTTCCTGATATGATGGGCTCTGTTCCTTGTAATGTTTTCTGAGCAATAATTCTACATTAATAGAAAAATATAAAAGTAGTATACGCATGTATATTTTCTACTTAGTTTAACCAGGTTGAAAATTCTACTTTAAAAACTTTTAAGTTGTTCTTCAGCTGAGTGAGTAAAAAGAAAAAAAGAAAGAAGTCAAGTGAAGATCCAAAAGCCACGGTAAGTGTTTCTCCCCCTCAGTGAAATAAAGGAGGTAAATCCTGATCAAATCAAGATATTAGTTTTGAGTGATAGCAGGGACTCTGGAATCCAACTTTCCTTTCTCATCATCTCACTTCAATTACAGAGCCCAGTAAAAGAGAGAGAATGAGAGAAAACACTGCCTGCACAGTCTTTCTGAGAATAGGTGTATTTGACAGCATCAAGAAATGTTGATGTGAATGACGGACAGCATTCAGAGCCATCGCCCCTGATCCCAAACAGTCACCCTGAGTGAAAGTGACAACACCAACAACGTTCTAACTCATCACTCCAGTCCATCAAGGAGATCACAATAAGATGAAGATTTCCACTTCTCTTTCTGGGCTAAAATGCTGTTTGGACTCAGACAATAGTTTCAAAGCACAATACTGAGGAAGAAAATAAAAGCACTGGATGTATGTAAATGTAAAAAAGTCCCATCTTCCCCTTTTTCTCTAGGCTTTCCTCCTCAACTCTATCTCCATTCTGCATAGGTTTTGCTTGCAATGGACAATGAAATCTAATCAGCTCCACTAATGATTGCCAAGTGACAAAAACTATTAGCAAGTAATGAAAGAAGACTTAACACCAATACTCCTCAAACTATTTAATGAAATTGAAAGGGAAGCAATTCTCCCTGATTCCTAAACGCAAGTGTTACCCTGACTAAAAACAAACAAACAAAACAGAGAAAGACCCAACCAAAATGGAGAACTACAAGCCAATCTCCCTAATGGATATAGATGGCAAAATTTTCAATAAGATCCTAGCAAACAGAATGCAGCAAACCATCATGAAGATTATATACCATGAACAAGTTGGATTCATCCCAGGAATGCAGGGATGGTTCAACATGCAGAAAATCAATAAATGTAATATACCATGTCAACAGAGCCAAAGACAAAAATCACATGATCATCTCAATAGATGCAGAAAACACTTTTGATAAAGTCCAACACTCATTCATGGTAAAAACCATAGAGAAAATTAGAATAGATGGTCTTTACTTCAATCTGATAAAAATCCATCTATGACAAACTAACAGCCAACATCATACTTACTGGACAAAAACTGAAAGTTTGAGCCAGGCATGGTGGTGCACTTCTGTAATTCCAGCACTTAAGAGATAACCCTTGATCGTGAACCAGCTCCCAAAACTGTTACACAGATTTAACAGCCATACTTCCAATACTGATATGCAGGTTTAAGACAATTCTGATCAAAATACCTTTAGCATATCCCACATACCTAGAGACAACATTCCTAAATTTCACATGAAATCATAAGAGAACAATGGCAAAGGCAATCCTGGGCAGCAAAGACAAGGCAGGAGACACCACAGCCCCAGACTTGAAATTATACTACAATACTGTTATAATAAAATCAGCATGGTACTAGCAAAAAAAAATGGACCTGAGTATCAATAGAACAAAATAGAAGATACAGACACAACTACACACACTCTCAGCCACTTTATTTTTGACAGAAAGGCTAAACATGTTCACCAGAAAAAGGAAGCATCTTCAATAAGTTGTGTTGGAAAAACTGGCTTTCTACATGCTGAAGACTTAATCTAAACCCATATCTATATCACCATGCACTAAACAAAAGTCAAAATGATCAAAGATCTGAATATTAAGACAGAAACACAAAATCTACTCAAAGACAAAGTAGGTAAAAATCTCAAGGACATGGGAGTAGGTAAAGTGTTCAAGAACAAAAGCCCAACTGCATGAGAAGTGCTTCGAAGAATCAAAAACTGGGATCTCCTCTTATTAAAAAGTGTTTGCACATTGAAAGGAATCACATACAGAGTGAAAAGAAAGCCTATGGATTGGAAAAAGATTTTTGCCAACTGTCCCTCAGCCAAAGGATTCTATCTAGAACATACAAAGAATTTTAAAAAAACCCTCAGATCTCCCAAATTCAAAGGCCCAATCCAAAAAATGGACATCTGAAATGAGTATACAACTCTGAGATAAAGAAATACAAATGGCAAATAAATATATGAAAATGTGTTCATCACTGGTCATTTGAGAAATATAAATTAAAACAACACTGAGATATCATCTCCAGAAAGAATGCCTAACATCAAGAAATCAACCAATAACAAATGTTGGCGGGGCTGTGGGAAAAAAAGGAACACTTTTCCATTGTTGGTGGGAGTATAGATGCATACTGTGGAAACTGTTAGGAAATTCCTCAGAAAATAGGGTTAGAGGTTCCATTCAACACAGCTATTCCCCTTCTGGGTATTATCCCAGAATAATTGAAAACATCGTGCCACAGCAACATATGTGCATCCAAGTTTATAGTTGCACAATTTATAATAGCCAGATCTTAGAAACAACCCAAATGTCCAACAACTGAGGAATGGATAAAAAAGATGTGGTATTTTTATACAAGGGAGTGCTACTCAGCTATAAAGAATAACAAGTTAGAAATTTTTATAGGTAAATGGATGCAACTAGAAACCATATTCACAAGTGAAATAAATCAGACTTGTACGTATAAACACCATATTGTCTTGCTATGTAAGAAACTAAAAGAGTAAATAAGATCCAAAGTTACAGTGGATATAGTAAAATGGAAAGAAACTGCTCAAAAGGAAATTATAATGTTTGAAACCTGAGTTTGAATATCTGGTAACTATTTTGAATATACTACTATGCAACATAACAATCATTGTTAAGTTCCTATCATCTTGGTTTGAAATCTTGTATCACTATTGTTTTGTTGTTGTTGTTGTTATTGTCATTTTGCTTTTGTTGGGTTTTTTTTTTTTGCTTCTTGATTTTTCTGTGTTTTTTTTTCTTTAAAGTGAAATAAAAATACTAAAAAACCAAATATTGGAGATTTTCTTTCATAAGTGCTCAGAACTGAAGGGTAAATTGAAAAGATAGAAGCTGAAAGCAATTTTTAGTATAAAATAATTATCAAAATGTCTTCACCAGGATACTTAGAATCTATCCCAAGGAGAGTCCATACAAGTTATGTGGGTTAAGGAAAAAAAGACATGCTTCAGATTGGTCTTTGGAACATGCAGAGATAGTAAGTCTGTAGGAATGTCCTCTTCAATTATGAGAGGCAGCAGTACATATGTAAGCAAGTGAAAACAGATGCCAGCCAGCTCTCAAGGGATTTTAGGACATTTATAAGATGGATTCAATGTAATTTTCCCATAAAACGAATATATGGGAAGTGATTTTTCCAAGAACACAGAGACAGCAGACAGAGAGTCTAAGAACAGGAACAGATGTCACAGAACATCAAATCTGTTCTCAACCTTTTCATTCACCCACTGATATGGCTCAGATTGACTTACTCAATTTGTAATCCTTTTATTAAAAAATATTTCCTATTTATTTTTAGAATCATCTGCTCAAAGTTTAAAGCTGTCTTTGTTTCCATCATGGTTCAACCACAGAAAACTTAAACTTTGTATCAGAGTATGATGACATCTATGCAACACAAAGAAAAAAAATAATCAAACTGAAATTATTATAGTGTAAGACCAAAAGCCAGCACATAGCATGAGCATTGAGCACATACTCTCCTACTTAAATAGATATTTAGATATTTATAGTAAAGGCAGCTTCTCATATTGTTGATCTTCAACTTTCAATTTATTTTCAAGTCAAGATGTTGGCAAATTTAGGTCAGTTGTTCTCCTAAGAAGCGAGGAGTTGACAAATTAAAGGTTAGTATATCTGTGAAATCATCCCAATTTCTCCAACCCTTAATCCTGTGACACTGAAGTCTGTCAATAACATTGGTATTTAACTTGATTAGCCCATATCAAGGATGTGGTGGTACATCACCATCCGAGACTGATCAATAAGAGTTGTCTTGAGGGCAAAATAGCACCCTGAAATTAAACCAAAGTTAATTTAAAGACACCACTTTTGAAGTATGGTGGTGGGTAGTAAAGGGTTATAGTTTAGATCTTATATAGAGGTGGGGATTCCAGGAGGTAATTGAATCATGGGGTGCTATACTTATCAGTAGATTAATTCACTGTTATGTTTATAGCTGAAACTATTAAAAGATGAGGTTCAGTTAGAGGGGGAAGATCATTAATGGTATGCCTTAAGGGTTTCTTTCTCTCTTGTTCCTCCCTTTTCTCTTTGCTTTCTGGTTGCCATCCATTGAGAAGCTTTCCTCCACCAACCTCTTATGTCACACCATTTCTGCTTTGAAGCCATGGACTAAATCACTGGTCAAACCCTCTGAAACCATGCACCAAATTAAACCTCTCTTCCTTTACTATGTGGTGACCAAGCATACTCTCTCAGCAACCAAGAAATAGCTAGGGCAGAACCACCGGTACCAGGAAAGTGGGGTCATTGCTATGACTATAGTTGATCATGTGTCCAGAAGAACTGCAAACCATGCAGTTTTCAGAAGTTTGAAAAAGTGGAGTTACACAACAAAGAAAGCTTTAGAATTCTGTAAGCAGATAGAATTTTAGTGAGAGCTCGGGAGACAAAAATGCTGATGGGAATGTTGTCAGTAAAGACCATCATGTTCCGTAAAGACCAAATGTCCCAGTTCAGGACATTTCACATGTGAATGAGGACTCTGTTAAAATTGGACTAGGGGCAATTTGTCCAGTTATTCTGGCAAATAACTTGTTTGGATTTTGCTCAAATCCTAGAAATTTGTGTAAGACTAAAATTAAGGGAGATTTCAAGATATCCCAGTGTTCGGGCCGTGGCATGTCTACTGTTGGTTGTTTTTAACCAGATATATAGTGAAAAGCTAGATCAAAAAAAAGAGCCAAAAGATGTGAAAACTTCTCAGTTTTGCTGATCATATCTAAAACTGGAGCCAAGGGAAGTAAGGTTTCCAAAAAGCACAATTAAAAAGAAGCCATGTAATTTACACTGAGAAAATAGAAAAGATACCTGGAGAACATGTCAGCAATTAGCCAAATTCCACCCACCACAGAAGATTAAAAGGAGGTAAGTGTGCACTCCTTTAAATATTTTGCTTTGAAAAGAGAGCTGGAGGGTGCCCTTCCCACTCAGCACCATTTAGGAAAGTGTTCACCCAGGTTCAGCCATCTAGGTACCCAGAGGTAACTGCATCTGCATCCATAATCCAAGGAGACCCAGCTGCTGGTAAAGGTGTTGGAAGACCTTGACATCATTCACATGGTGCTGGTTTTATTGGAATGCAAAGTGTAAGAGTGATGGGTCACTGAGATTTCTTTCTTGATTTCAGAAGGACATTGGAGCTAGGGGGAAAAAAGTATGACAATAAAACCAACATTGCATTGGAAATCCCAGAAAGTTGAAGATGGCAGGAAAGAAAAGGGTCTATCTAAGGAAAACTGCAAACAAGTACAACTAGCTGAAAAGGAAAACCATGTGAACTGCAAGCAACAAGGCCAAGAAGGGTTGCTTCCTAAACTCCATACAACCTGGATGCTGGACATGGAGCTATTGATAAAACTCTGTTGAATTTTTGTCTTGCTTATCTCTGATTCCCTTAGAAGCCTTCATTCCTCTCTTTTGGAATGGGAATGTGTTATGATTTGTGTCTGGATGTCCCCTCAAAGCCTCATAGAGTCATGGGGCAGGCTTCTAGAGTTTATAATTGATTTACAGTTCATTACTAGGATTATGGATGTGAGTGCTACATCTACGGGGGGGGGGCAGCCTACAAACAATATGAGGATTAAAAAAAAAGCCTCCTTTCACACTCCTCCATTTTTTGCTCTTGTTGCTTTTGCTGTTTTCTGCCACCATGAAATGTTGCCCTCTGCCATGTCACTCGGCCTTGAAGCCAGCTGATTATGAACTGAAACTTCCACAAACTGTGAGCTAAATCAACCTTTCCTTCCTTAATTTTGGGCACTGGGTACTTTGTCTTAACAATAAGAGAAAAGTAACCAATATAGAGAATGTTTACCCTTGCCATTGTATGTTAGAAGTATTTAATCTTTTTGATGTTTACAGGAGCTGACAGCTAAGAATTTGTCTTAGGCCTCAACAGAGATTGAAGGCTCGGACATTAAGCAATGCTAGAACTATTAAACCTTTGGTGACTCTGAGAGGTGGACCATGTATTTTGCATCAGAAGGTGGCCGTAACACTTTTGGAGGTTAGATCAAAATGTTACCGTTTAGATTCAAAATATCTCCCTTTAGTCTTATGCATTTAGAGATGGCACTCCCAGGAAATGACTTTTGTGAGGTGCTACACTGTTCAGTGATGAGTTTATACCTGTCAGCAGGTGAGACCCAGTTGGAGCTGGGTCACTGAGGACACACTTTTGGAGGGTATATTTCCTTTTTTAGTTCCTTACTTCTCTGTGTTTCTTGGTTGGTAACTGGTTTTCCACCTCTGTGTCCTTTTCTCATGCTGTTTCAGACTTGGATTCAAAGATTAATTCATGGCCTGAATATTCTGAAACCATAGACATCACTTTTTTTTTTTTTTTTAATCTTTTTTTTTTTGGTCTTTTTCCTTTTTATCGGTACCGGGAATCGAACTCAGGACTGCCTGCTTGCAAGGCAGGCGCTTATGCCACTGAGCTAGATCCCCAGCCCCAGACATCACTTTTAAGCTTCAGGTGTTTGATGTTTCATCCTAGCTACAGAAAAAAGATTAATATAGGCAGAAAGTTGGAAACACACAATTACTAACTCTAAAGTCAAAGCTAGATATCAGTAAAGGTATATATGGAAATGAAGAACAGTCATGACAAAACTACAGCATCTTTTCCTGTGACAGTTTACCACTCCATGCCGGGTCCAGAGCAATATCACACAGTAGAGTCCTAAATAATCAGATCAGTTATATATCTCTGCTCCTTTTGTTAACATTAGTAGGCATATTGTCTGCCAAAATGCTCTTGCCCCGTTTCTGATGACCAATAAGTTTATACATATAAAACAACATTGTATGATTCAGAAAAAAATGTACCCCCAAAGACTTGCATGATCAAAGCAGGGGTTTTGGAAGGTGATTATACTATGATGGTGCGCATGAGCTCACAGCTGAATTAACCACAGTTTTATGAAGTGGGACCCACATGGAGATATGAGGTCGCTAGAGGTGTTTCTTGAAGGTTACACTTGAACCAGAGTCTCCTTCTCTCTCTGCTTCCTGATCACTGTGAGTTAAGCAGATTTCTTTCACCTCCCCATTCTGCCACTTGGCTCTGTTTCACCACTGGTCCAAAGCAATGGATGTGCCTGACGGGGGGTGGAACCTCTGAAACTCTGAGTCAAAATAAACCTTTCCTCCTTGCTTCTCTAAGATGAGAGGATAAAAAGCTAACACTAATATCAAACATATTCTTAGCTCCACTTTTTAAATACTTTCTTAGATTCAAAGATGCATCAGGGCCATTGTGACCTTTCTTGGCAATTCTCTGGAAACCTAAAACTTTAAATGAAATGAAAGAAAGAGAAGCACAGGCCAGGCATGGTAGCACACATATGTACTCCCAGCAGTTGGGAGACTGAGGCAGCAGGATTGCTGCAAGGTTGAGCTACATAGTAAGTTGACTATGAACTACACAGTTCAGCCTGAATTA